GTTATCCACAAGAAGTTGGAGCATCAAGAACAATTGTTGTCCTAAAAATATTACCACTTTTAAAGTAAAGAGGATAACCACGGAGAACATATTTTCAATCCTATTACGGAAATATTAGGACAAAGGAAGGAAAAAACACCAAAAATTGTGGACACTGATCTGAGCAATGTTACGCCTTACGACTTATAACAGCCATACGACGCCAAAATATGTAGAGTAGAGGAGGATAGGAGACAGTCCAATTAGACAGTCCAGAGAAAGAGAGAGCCCTACTAGAAAAGCGTTTAGTGTAATGCACGTTTTAGGTCATAAGGACATCCGCTTATTGCAAAATGCAACTAAATTTCAATGCAGCTTCTACCACAATAACGTCACTTTTGTTTGTCTGCACCACCAGTTCAGGTCATAGTTGATAGTGCGCTGCCTTCAACATAGACGATGAGTGGTTACGCTGCGGAAGACGTTATCGTAGTGGAGGGTGACGAATTTGTGGATGAATTCTTGCTCGAAGAGATGGTTCGCTAATCTACCTTCGCGTCCTCACTTTTGTCAGATGTTAAAAAGGCCAAAACTACGACCGAGAGTGAGAAGTGTGAGTGGTGCTGAATTGGGAAAAGATAAGCACACTTTCGTATTCGGACAGAAAAAAGGTATTAATGGCGTTGCCACCCTATCATTAAACTAACACTTGTGGTGTAGATGAAAAGGAAGAGGTAAAGGGTTGGACGGGAGTCCTGTGCATGGGGACAAGTATTGCTGCACCTCGTGGACCACCTCAAGAATATGCAGTAACTGATGCTGTCCTCGAGGACGTGATTGAAGTGGAGGGTGACGACTTCGTGGACGAGTTCCTGCTAGAGGAGATGGTTTGCCAATTTCTTCCTTATAATACAACAGTTAAAGATAATGAGGAGACCGAAAATTCATGCCAGACGAAGGATGGTCGACGAGGGAAATGCGAAGGAAGACGCACAGATCAGTTGGCTCCCAAAGTGCAGCGAATTGAACAAAGAAAAGAGAGGGGCGGGGAGGCTGGAGGAGAAGAAGGGGGAAGGTGCGAATGGGGTGATGGAAACACTGAACAGCCAGTTGCAGAAGTTGAGCGTTGCTGACGGAACAGCACGCGTTCTGGCAAGCCACACGAAGATATGTACTTTCCAGTGAAAGCAGCACCGAGTAGACTTAATTGTGTGCACAGACTGCCTTTGCTTCCCCATTGTTACTTCCCCTATCCTGCCAATACATTATTTCCTCTCTCATGCCCCATTGTGTAATGGAGTACGGTGGGTGGACTTGCGATAGGGGTGGCCGGGTCGGCCTTTAGTCAGATCCAAGTAACAGAGACACCGCATCTGCACTAGTCTAAAAAAGCGGTGCACTTTTTGTGGATTGCACTGGTTTTTGCCTCCACAGACATCAGTTGCGAGGGGTAACGAGGCCAGGAATAACGGTGTCTGAGTTACCAAGTGCAACATCCGAGGCGCATCCGTGTGTTGGGAAAGGAAATTTGTGATACCCGTGATGCAGTGTTTTGAGAATCCATCAGGCAGCATGTATTATCCTAGGAGATGCAATGTCAGGATATCCCCATCACAACTTTGATGCGCCTTTGTCGACTTTGTGGTGTATATTTCATCGCGCAAGCGGTGAGGAGCACAAGTAGTTATGAGCGTGTGGTAAAACGAGCGGGATATGGGAGTCCACTGATTGCATTCTAGTTCTCCCTGTCTGTGAAGGCCACAACGCAGTACATTCAATCACTGAGGAGATGTGCAAAGAAACACGGACCGTCAGGACAGCTCGGAAACAGTAGTATTTTGGAGTGGAGGGATTGTGGTAGGAAGTCAGCAAAGCCACCAGATGTTCCCCATTGCTGTGTATGTGTCAACCAAGCCATTGTAACCCATTCTAGTTGTGATCTCTCCCATCATCCTGTGTCACACACAGTCACACACTGCTTTGTAACGCATCCACCGTCTGCACTAGCATTGCCTTCCCAATGTGGAGGCATTCGTGGCGGACGGTTGGATGTTTGTAGCAGTTGCCGCCTTGGTTGTTATTTCGGTGTTGAGACTGAAAGTTGGGTGCCCAAGATGTGTTGCGTAGTGATCGCACAGCATAGCTGCATGCCTTCATCACATCCGTGTAGTGGGAAACAGATGTGTGATGTAGATTGATGCAATGAGTGACCGTTTACCCTACTGCGTGACTGTCTCATGGGTTGGTTGGTGGGTTCGGTGGATAGATACTTGGTT